CCTCCTGCTCCTGCTCCTGCTCCTCCTCCTCCTCCTCCTCCTCTCTCCTCCCTCTCCTCCTCCTTCTCCTCCAGTCTTTTCACCTGTGCAGTGAATGTCTCACGTTGTCGTATACAAACTTGCAGCAAAACTGTCCGTCTCTTGTTGTTCGATAGTTGGCAGCTGTCGCAACAACATCGATAATATGCGTGATCTGATCTTCAGCGATCTGGCAGCAAACCATACTTTGTCAGGCCATGGTAGCGAAACATTGACATAACAGCACAAGTTTGTGGTGAATTTGCAATCTTGCTGTGATTGGGATAATTTGATAGGATATCACAATCCTCAGGTGGTACCGACGTCTTGATATGAACAAATGATAGACAACGACAGAAAAGCACGAAACGGGTCAGAACACAGCAGCAGCAACAGCAACAGCAGCAGCAGCAGCAGCAGCAGCAGCAGCAGCAGCAGCAGCAGCAGCAGCAGCAGCAGCAGCAGCAGCAGCAGCAGCAGCAAAAAGCAGCAGCACCACCACCACCACATTCACGTTTGTGTTACCTCATCCTCGCACATTGAAAAGAAGATATCTTTCTTTGGATCAATAAAATTTGTAAATCTCTCCCTCGCAGCGTTTGTAATCTGTTCGCAAGTGAAAAACCAGTTGACTTTCCATTGATTGTCTGTTGTCTTCTTCAGCAATCTTGCATATTCTGTGATGATTTTTCCATCCTGCTTGCATGTTAGAAATAACCAAAGGAAAAACATTTGAGGGGAAACAACATATCAAAGATTGTACGACCCCTTCTTCTCTCCCCTCTCTTCTTCTCTCATTTTCTTGCCTCCCCTCCTCTCCTCTTCTCCCCTCTCCTCTCCTTCCCTCTTCGGTCCCCTCCTCCAATCTCCTCTCCCTTCCATCTTCTGACTCCAACAAACAAAAAACTTTCACCTCGTAGCAGCTTGCTGCAACACAAACTCCATACTTCAACTTCTTCACATCCAAAGCATTTTCGTCATCTTTTTCTTCCTCATCTCCAGAGTCGCAGGACGGGACATCATCGATGGCATACAAATGAAATTCTTCCTCGTCGAGCTTCAACCATCTAGCAAAGAAAATCAAAATAATGAGCAAGAGTACGTAAAATCTCAAAGCACTCACTCATCCTCCTCTCCTTCAGTTCTCCATCGCACAAGATGCTCGTTTTCTTCTTCTTTACCCTGAGATGCACAAAACATGATCAGGATCGAACCAAAAGACATTTTGGTGTAAGACAGAAATGGGAAGATACGTATTGGCTCCACACCTGTGCCCGACGATTTCTGCATAATGCCATTCATTCTTGGAAGTTTCAACGGTGAACACTGAGACCTTGATCGCCCTTCCAATAATCTCTCTCCCATAATCTGCACAAACGGTTTCAGCAGCCTGACCTGCCAACATCATCTGGAGTTTGCCTCTCTTCGTTGCTGCTTGCTTTGATGCTCTAGAGCTCTTTTTGCCATTCACCTCCTCCTCCTCCTCCATCATATCATCGTCTTCTTGGAAGCTTTCATCGTCGTCGTCCTTCGACTTCTTCTTCACCCTTGCTTTATCTTTGCCCTGGTCAAGTTTCTTCGCGGTGTCTTGAAGCCCCAGCTCTCGCATCAGCTCCTTGTTCCTTGCGATGTTCTGCCGCCTTTTCTCTTCATACGACATCTCCTGCTGAGGTACTCTCACCCCCACACTCTCATGCTCGTCCGATGGTGACTGAGGAGGAGGGGTCTCGAGGCTAGTGGCCATGGCTGCAGGACAGAAGGAAGTCTTAGCATGCAGGTTGGCAGACTGAGCAGGGAGCGAGGAAGAGTCTTGATGCAGCTTCATCTTCATGGTTCCCTCCTTCCTCGTCGCCTTCTCTTCCTCTGTCCTCGTCCGTACACGGCGCTGGCGCATGCCGAACGCGGACATGGCGGCGACTGTCGGGGACAGAGGTGAGTGGGGGGTAGGGGTGATACAATGGGGGTAGGATATGAGATCATACGGGGCATTTCAGAAAGGGTGGGGTACATCAGAATTGCAGTCTTGAGGGAGGTGGGGTAGTCTCTTGCCTAAATTGGAAGGAGGGGGCGAGTTGGGGCAGACTGGAGAAGGCAACAAGTAGGACGAGCAGGAGGGGAGGAAGAACAGGGAGGGCAGGGAGGGCAGGGAGGGCAGACAGGGCAGACAGGGCAGGCAGGGAGGGCAGACAGGGGAGGGAGGGCAGGGAGGGCGGGGGGCAGGGAGGGCAGGGAGGGCTTGCAGGGCAGGGAGGGAGGGCAGGGAGGGCAGGAGCTTTGAGGTGAAACAAGTAGAGAGCAGAGAGTTTTGATCAATAGAGCGCACCGAGCCTGGGGAGTTCCAGGGTTTGTATCCCCAACATGAATTTGTGTGAGAAGGATGCTACAGTTGGTAGGGGAGGAGAGGTGCGAAGAAGGGTTTGGGTGCTTGGGGGGGCGGCATGGAGAAGCGGTGTAAAACCCACGTGAACGAGGTTAAAAAGAGCAGCTATGTAGAAAGCCAGAATGATTTGTTGATACCTGAGTTTTGGAGTGGGAAGTCCCCAAGATAAGGGGGCAAGGTAAATGATACCAGATTAGAGTTTACGGGGCACGCACAAGAGAGTATGTTGGAATGTTTGCAGAGCAGTTGCATTAGAACACTGTAATATGTGCCACATTCAGTATTGTAAATAAACACGACGTGTAAGTAATCTTGTTTTGATTTCCAAACAAGACCCACCTCTCATGACTTTAACAAAAGCATCATCCCACGTAGAAAATCATATTCAATCGGTCTCAAAGAATGGAGTGAAAATGAGGTGGACCATGCTAATTTGAGTCAATGATGTTGTCTATTTTCATTTATTTCTCATTCACTCACTTCAAGGTTTTGCTCCATGGTACCGGAAGATATGTATGTCAATTCCTCTTCTGCAAAGTACCCTGTAGCTGTCGCAGCCCCAGGTCGTTCAGTGAACAGCTGCACCTGTCAACAAGACATGATAAGACTCGGCGAAATCTCACGTCGTTGCTTGCCTCAACGCTAGCTTCTTCCATGCTGTTCTCCGCGCAACAACATATAGGGTCTTCTCCGCACTTCTCCCATACCGAGGTTACACGCCCTTTGGTTCCTGTACGGTGAGGCGCTGGATGTCAGACTGGAAACACGATGATCTCTGGCTTCACGTACCTTTGACGTTCATTCCATTCACGGAAACATCCGAGCTCACAACAACTATGTCGCCCTTCTCGAAGCCAATAACGCTAGATCTGCCGGTGCAGTCAATTGCAGCCAGAGAATCATAGCGCTGATATGTCGCAAAAGTGCAATCCAGCTAGAAACACTCACCTGTCAGCCATCCAGAGAGTTGGCGAGGATCTACAACGAGTGTCCAATGCTGCTGACAGGGCAGAGACAGGTTACAAACCCTTGGTGCAGGCATGCAGACACCTTTGTTGAGTGAGGTATGAGTGAAACGACTCTGACAAGATCGAGGAACCCTGAGAGTTGGAGCATTGAAGGCCATACTCTCGCTCAGCACCGTCATCGTCAACACCATCGTCAGCTTCCCTGTCACCGGCATCTCCATTAGCTGCAAACTCTTGTGTATTGTTGGTTGTAAGGCATGGCGTTGCCTTTATTTCAGCATGGGGGAGACCGTCACGGGCGTGGATCATCGAGTCGAACCGCGCCCGCCTCACGGTCACCAGCCAAGTGGGTCCGCCCCGGGACCCGTACCAGGGGGAGTTCCCCTCAGCACGCGGCTACACTGAGGACGGTACCACCCCGGGCCACTCCCGGTAGTTGTGAATGAATGCCAGGGTAGTGGTACCGGGTAGTGGCGGCTACTACGGTAGTAGTGGTTCAATGACTGCCATCAGTAGGTTTTAGTCAAAGTTAAGCCTGTGAAGGACGGTAAGGTAGTAGTATGTAGTCCCGGGGCCCGCCGGGATAATATTCAAGTTGCTGGACAAGACTGGGGTAGTTTTAAGTTGCCTCAAGTTATCATAGTCCGATCCGCAACTTTTACTCAAAGTTAGTTAAGTTATTATCATAGTAGTATGCTCACTGACGACTGGTGTAGAGGGTGTAGAGGGTACTCGTTGCCCCGAAAGTTGAGGACAGTAGGGGGTGGGGTCATCATTTACATAATTTCCACCCCATTGACAATCAGAGGAACAGATCAGGATTGCACGAGGGTGGGGTCATATGTGAGGGTTAGGACCCGGGTACTTCTCTGAGTGGTAAGGGGTAGGGGTCTTCAACCACCCACTGGATATTTTAGATACTACTAGTGGGATCAGAGTGGGTAGGGGTGGTGACACATTTAACTATCGGGGGTTGCAGGGGTAGGGTCCTTTTGATGGTACTGAAATCGGAGTGTAGGGAAATACTACCAGGGGTGGGGTCCAAGGGTTTCTGGTGCCCGTAGGTTAAGTTCGGGGTGGGGTGAATGGATACAGGCAATACGTCCCTCTTGAGGTCAAGAGGAGGGTGAGGTAGTGAAATCGTGGGTGCTCTCCATTGAATAGGGTAGGGGTGATTGGTTTTTACAATATCGTCTATGAAGGGGTATGATCATTACCACATGAGTGGGAATAGTGAGGTGGGGTATACTTTTAATGAGGACGGCTGGAATATAAGGGGGTGATAATTGGCCTACAGTAGTCCTGGAGGGGTACTATATCCAAAAGGGTGGGTTCATTTTTGACCAGGGGTGGTAGCCCTAGCCGGAGCTCTGGAGCGGCGCCAAACGGTTGCGCGGGGGAATGCAGGAAGAGACGCGGGGTGGAAGAACAAGACGAAGATGGCGAGTTCCGCAGATGCAGAAAGAAGATAGAGAACTGGAGGAAGGAGACGATTACAACATGGAAAGGGTGGCACTCCGACCACGGTCGTCCCGGCTCAAGGCGAAAATGGAGAAGATGGAGTCAGAGAAGGCCAGGTTTGTGCCACTGCGCTCGATGTAAAGAGGACCTTTGATGGAATGTTGAGATCCTCGAGTGTATTGTTCTGAATTTTCAACTTGTTCAATCTTTTGGTTCACGATGATTTGACCCTCTTGCTGTTTATTTTGAGCTACTTCATAATTTTCTTTCTTCTGCAGTGATTTACACATCGGGCATGCTTACCCTGAACTGAGCCATGAAACTCGTGATGGTAAATGTGCTGTTCATTAATGCTCTATTTGTTCAACAATGATGTTGGGGTTTCTTAGATGACGTTTGTGGGCAAGAAAAAATGAAAAGTCGGAAGAGAGTAAAACATGACAGAAATATGCGAGATTACATTCCAAAACAGGATGAAGTCATCTACCAACATCCTGCAAAATCTTCTTCACTACATGTATTCACTTTACGGTTTTTGTGATGTTCGTTCATTTTCAATTGCAGTTTGCATGTCAACCATTATTGCATTCCAGAAAATCTACATCGGATGGGGAAAACAAATATCCTTGCAACGCCAGTTTTCATGAAAGAAACGATCTTCTGGAGCAAGTCAAATCTGACATTTTGAAAGAAGACTGTTCAAATAGTTTTCTACAAGCGGCAAAGGTAAAATGTTCTTTTGAAGATTGGACTTTACCTAACGAATTTCTCATGGACAGAAGGAATTATTTGAAGCAGACTTTAGAAATGAAATACCCAAGCTGGAAATTGAAGATTCCAACTTATCAGCCTTCAGTCCAATTCAGCACTTCAATGACATGCAAAAAAATCCCAAGCGAGCCAAGAAAAAGGACTTGTCCTTTGCGATCTCTGCGACATCTCTTCAACAGGAGCAAAGGCTTAAGAGGCAGCAAGAAGTGCTCAAGGTCTCTTTGCATTCCACTGTTTGGTTTCAAGGAGTTGACATTGTTGAATGCGGTATAATGTCACAGGCTATAGGAGAAGGAGGGGTTACTGAAAAAACGATTCTGGGACGCCTTGGGGATAGCAGATATACTCGTGAAATTCTTCGACGGTTACTCGCCCAAGGGATAGTTAATCGTTGCGGGAAAGGAGGGTCGAATGATCCGTTTCTGTATAGTCTCAACAAGGTGAGGCTCTTGATAACACGCTTTGGATGCCTGATTGATGGAAAAGGAACATTTTGATGAGAAGGGGAACGTCATTTGCAGTCCCGACATGATAGACCCGGGTATACATATACACTGGCATGCGGTAAAATTCGATGACGCTTGCATTGCTTTGAAGGTCTAGAAGTACGACTGAGAAGGATTGAAGGAAAGATCAAAACTTTCCTCGATAGCCAAAGCGGATATATCACGGAAAAAAGGATAAGAATTGAGGAACCTCTTTCTTGGTGGATATCTCGGAAGGATGAAAATGTTTTCTGTAGGTGGGAGATAATACTGGGACTGGAAAAGCCTTGCGCCGTTTAGTGATAACGGGGGTGGTTGAACGAGAGGTATGGACTGATTTTGTGCACCATACTTGTGTTGATCGGGAATTCAGGGTAGAGGGGGTATCGGAGATCCTTACAGGTACAGACGCAATCCAGAACAAGATGGGTGCGAGACCAGAAGGAGAATAGGTTTGATCCCCTCTTTTTGACGAGGCCCAACCATTTGACGATGTTCAGGTTCATACGCTTCTGGACCCATCGTGTGCGAAAGTGTAGCAGATTCAGACCTTAACAGCTCGCCAACAGCGTCAAATTCATCCCCTGGAACCCTTGCTGTACATCAATCGAACTTTATTTGCTTTGCTCCTCCTCCAATGCAAGAGGATCATCCGTACCCTATGCATGGAAACGAAACATATCGAAAAGGTTGGAAAACTTTGACGAGGACTGGATAATGTAATGTTTTTGTCTCAGAAGCCATGGAGGGAACAAATCTTGGTTCAAATCCAAACGAGACATCAAAATGCGGTATTTACAGCTCAAGAAGGGCATATAGCCTGCATAGCAATGATCATTTCATGCAGGATTACCTTCTTTCAATGGCGATTGTCTCCCAGATATTCATGACAGCTTCGACATTTTGGTATGAGAGTTGTCAAATTGCTGCGAGCAATTGACCTCTTGCCGATTAGAACGAGACTGGAGGTGCAGATTCAGACAAAGCACGTGTTTCTTACTCTCACCCTCACTGGGCTGTGGAAGTGGAGAAGGATTTCTCCTCTAGTATGTAGAAGCATCCCTTGACCTCTGATGGTTGACGGTGATGTAAAGATCCGAATGGTAAAGAAGCAAGGAAGGGCAAGAACTCTCAGAAGAATGGAGTGGAGAAGACAGGAACGGAGGGATCCTATGCTGACTCCTACTCTGTAAGCTCGTCGATGTTGACACACAGGGAGGGAACTCATGCTGTGACAGCAGGAGTTCATAGATGTAACCAACATCATGACATCGATGTGCGGCAAGACGGGCTATGACGAAATGGACAACGAACAATACTGATGCGTGACTTCGAGCGGATGAGGACGTTGAACTCTTGTGGCAAAGTGTTTGCAGGGATTAGCTAACTGGTGTACTCTAATCGGAAATCAACCATTTTTTCGTTTGTTTGGCCCTTTGACGCTGGTGTGCGGTTGATGTCTCAGTGAGGGGATCTAGCTTTCCGCACTAGCCTCACAGAATTTAGTGCTGACCATTCAAGCTCAGTCTCTTCCTCAGTTCCTGGCCGATAACTCACTGTCCAAGCAGCAGGAGGGTGAAGTCTTACCTTGCTCCTGCTCCTCTTCCATGGCATCCGTCGCCTCTACCCACTCGCCAGTGGAAGGGTGACGAAACTTGGGAACGATCTTGGAGACCTAGGAAGGAAGTTGAGGCAGGGGAGAGGAAGGGAGAAGATGTAGGCACTGACCTCCGGCGCAAAGATGATTTGAAGCTTGACAAACTGCTTGTCTGAGCTCCAACCCTAACGAGTCGATGAGAGAGGAACGCAAGGGGAAACGGAGGGGAGGAAAGAAAAGAAGGGAGGGGAGGGGATGAGGTTGTATGGTGACCTTCACTATTGCTTGCTTGTAGTCGGAAAGATTTGGTACCCATCCCTTCCACTCTCGTCAAGATGATGAAGAGAAGAGAAAATCTCAACCTGAAGCTCGACGATCTTGAAAAGAATCTCATCACCCACGGCTGGTCTTGTCTGAAGAAACCTGTGAGATGTGGTTGTTCAGTCGATCACTGGAGGTGTAGCAGGCAAGCAATACTTGTATTGCTCGTAGTTTTCTGAGATGTAGTGCGAGTTGCAGCCATTGCCTTTGCCTCTGTCTTTGTCTTTGTCTTTGTCTTTGTCGTTGTCTTGCTCTCTTGTATTGTTCGAAGGTTGTCTTGCCGATCGCGATTCGTTTGCTCTGTTGCTCTTCTCTTTATCCAAAGTGGCCAATGCTGCTTTCTGTTCCTTCTGCTGCTTCATGAAAGCATTTTTCTAGCCTCAAAGATTCAGTGGAGGATGCGAAGAAAAGAGACGAATGATGAGAGGAAATCAGGAATAATGCAAGACGTTGAGAAATTGAAAAAAGTGTGGCTAAGGGCAGAGAACAAAAGAGGATCAGGAGAATTAAGTGATTAGACTTGAAGGGAGGAGGAGGAGGAGGAGGAGGAGGAGGAGGAGGAGGAGGAGGAGTAACGAAGGGGGAGGAGGAGGAGAAGGAAAGAACGACACGAGGAGGACAAGAGAAGAGAAAGAGGAGGAGGAGGAGGAGGAGGAGGAGG